TTTTTTTTCTCCAAGTACGGGTGGGCTGGCGTGGAGATGGAACTCATAATTTTTGTTCGAGATAGGTATTAGGAGATATTTCTCTAATGTCACATGTTGAGTGGAGCTTGTAAAATCCACGAGATATATATATATATATTCTAGTGTCATATGGAACCTTCTTGTTCGTGATGAACATGTGACAAACAAACTCCAAATTTTTATCAATGAACTCAAAGTGTTGGGAAAAATGAAACCCAACACTTAAAAGCCATAGATCGATTTCCCATTTCAATTCAAGAGAATTTACACTTAAGAAGCGGAAGCGTACCTTGATCCATAGTTGATTGACAAGTTTGATCTTCCAAGTGTAGATGAATCACGTTTTCCTCTAATTTTACTTTTGTATATTCGTAGAAAAGRGAGAAGATTCTCTATGAAGGGATTGGAGAAAACTAACGTGAAATATATTTGACTTGGGGACCATAACCCCTATGTAATCAACCCAAAACCACTGGTCGATTACAACATTTTGATATTTCCAATTTGGCCCCTCATCAAATTGGAAATTATTTCATGGTATCTATACATTTTGCCCATAGTCATTTTATAATTACTCCGTTAAACCAAAACTTACACATAATTATATCACTTATCTCGATCTAATTAAATAGCAAAAACACATTAAATTAATACATGTGTAGCCCCCATATTATTGAAAATTCCAACACAATGCCATCAAAGGCGAAGTCTCGTAATTCGTCATGAGCTAGAGTGTTGCACTTGAAGAAATAGACCTTTGCAAATTTGGTAAGAGGACGACACCAATCTATGGGTGAAATCATTACATGTGACTTAACTATCAGTGTGACCTTTTCACCTTTTCGTAAAGCTTGATTTTCCTAAATATTGGCTAGTTTAGATAAACATTCCAACTATTCAAAGAAGGTGATCTTGAGCGGATAATCTTCGGATTCCATAACAGAATGTCTGGCAGTTATTCAAATGGATCCAGTACACCCCCTCCCAAGAATGAAATCCTATCAATTGAGTACTTTTAGACTAAAAAGAATTAAGCAACTTTCATGGATAATGATGTTGTCACTAAAGATGCATTTTTTATTTATTTATTTTTTTGTTATGCCTTTTCTATTTGTACACAAAATAATAATAATAATWATTATTATTATTATTGYTATAATAATAGCTCTTATTGTTTAAAAACTTCCCATTCAAGACCTTATGTTTTAACATTTGTCAATTCTCTAACTAACGGAGAATGTTAAATTTGGTCTATGATACTTAGTGCATTAATAAAAATTTAGAGAAAAAAGTCATTAAAAAAGAAAACAATTCATAACTTCTACTAATTTCTTAAAAATTTGGYGGAGGAAGTAGAAATTTTCCACTTTTAAATTTCCATCCATAAATTAGGTATCAYATCATATAAGTTTATTATCATCTAATTTTAACATTTACCAATAATGAAAGATTAAATTAAAAAATATTGAAACATAATAGACTAAATTGAAACTTTTTAAACAATAAATAYTGAATTAGAATAATCATACAAACATTAGGGGCTAAAACATATGTTTAACTTATTTATATTAATGGATGAGATAAAATTAATGAAAATATCAATAAAATATCGTTCACATGATCTTATCTTTTGTTTTTTCGAATAAAAAGTTTCATATTTCTCATTTCTAACTTAAACACAACCATATAAAATGATATATAAATATTTATAATATTGACATTTTGATCCAAATTTATATTAGGGTAGCTTATAATGGTCAAGACATCYCACTCATCTTGCTCCTTTCTTAAAGGTTAGAGGTTGAACGTAWCCTCAATGTACATATTACTAGAATAAAACATTTGTATTCATATAAACAATATTTTCTTTAATATTTTCTATATTTCATCCCATTTTATCCGATCCATCATATAATATAATATAATATATAAAGGATATTCTAATTTTCTTTTGGCAAAGTACGAAAGTATAATCCAAATGGATTAGATTGTTGCCTCCCTTTTTTTGTGGAGGCACAGCAAAGGAGATTGAGAGATGTAACCTAATCCAATGGTGGTTTGGCAAAACGTCATCCATCAAATCCTCTTTTTAGATATGAAACTTATCTAATTATTTGGTTGGAAGTACAGAGATCAAAATAATTCAAACCTTAAACCTGCATTTTTTATATGAAATTTCTTCCTCGGTAGATTTTAAGAATAAAACTTTGCAGGCTTAAGCTAAAGTAGATAATGTATATCAAATTATGGAAATATACATGTGGGACTTATTAGTAGAGTCATACCCCATAGTTATATAGATACAATTCTCAAATATCCTAAAAAAGAGGATTATTACTCGATAGATAATGTAGCACTACAAAAAAAAAAAATATATATATATATATAGTTATTTATAGCTTTGTGAGATAGCATTTGTAGAAATAAGTTATGAAAAGAACTTAAAAAAAAGGGGACAAACTAAAAAAAAACGGGTGGACAATTTTGTTTTTACAGTAATATTTGGAAGGAATTATTATCAATAAAAGTTATTATCTAAAATATATAATTTTAAAGCAACGATTTTTTTTAGTAACCAACCTGCATTTGATATTTTTYTTTTTGTAAAAAATATAATTCGATAATATGATGAATAAATTTTACTTCATATAACATTTATTATATAATTGTTTTTGAAAAAAAATATTAAAGTTATAATGAAATTTATATTTAATACTAATAACTTTTTTTTAAAAAAATTCTTATATTAATATCAATTCTAGATAATAACATAAAAAGTTAATATATGTGAAATTAATATTAAAAAACAAAATATTAAATTAATAAAAACAAGTGTATTATATAAATATATTATATTAAATTAATATATRAATTATATGAATATATGTTGGGAACAAAGAATGGAACAACTATGTACAAAATAAAAACAGAGACAAACTAATATGATGAGAACATCAAATGCTTAGTTTGATTCATATGAAAAAGGATGATGTTGTGCCYTTATATAGGTTTACAACCATAACAAAAATAGTATGCCACTAACTCCACTGATGTAGTGTTCCCTAAACTTARAATCCATCGTCCTACTAACTTTGTGCCACTATCCATTATCTCACTTTCTTTCTAATTAGTGCCACCATAATTGGTCTYACTAATTAAATTTGAATCATTCCTTCAATACTCCTTCTTGATTTAAATTTGCAAACTCCAAGCAACACTCTAAAAGTAACATAATTTCTCCTTTGACAAAGACTTAGTAAGTATGTCGGCCCATTGTTCGTGCGTGCTACAATACTTCAGAGCAATGTCTCCCTTCGTAACCAAATCACGGATGAAATGGAAACGAATATCAATGTGCTTCGTCCTGCTATGGATTGTTGAATTCTTTGTCATTGAGATCGTTGCTTTGTTGTTGCAAAATATCTCTGTTGCTCCCTCTTGCTCCTGTTGAAGCTTCGCTAATATTCTTCTTAGCCAAATTGCTTGACACGCGGCTGAAGTTGCTGCGACGTACTCTGCTTCCGAAGACGACAATGCCGCCGTGGCTTGTTTCTTTGAACTCCAGGTGATTACTCGTGATCCTAGAGTAAACACATTTGCTGATACGCTCCGCCTGTCATCCAACGAACTCGTCCAGTCGCTGTCCGTGAATCCGTAT